CTTCTTCCACTAAATGGCACCTGGTAAGTTACCTACCTAGAGCTTGTTTCCTTATATATAAAATGAGAATAACTACAATGTTGTCAGCATCAGAGAGAACGTTTATAAGCCACAATACTTGGTATACACGTAAGCATTTAAGAAATGGTAGAGAATATTTATCTATATTTGTATATGAAATTTATATATAATGTTTGTATATAAAATACTTGTATATAAGATGTTTTACTGTCTAAAATCAGAATCCTAATTTAGAAATAATGACACTAAGAGGTCACAGAAATATAGTGGTTGAATGTAAGAGCTGCAGTGTTTCGGAACGTTTAATCAAGGATTTTAAAATTTTAAGATAAAAAGAGCTAAACAGCCTCCACAGTATACCAAGAGAAAGAAAAGACCAATGAAACATTAGGGGGATGACTAGACAGACCAGATCAACATGAAATCTCAAAACAAAATGATGGATGGAAAACCTTGTTAAAAGAATATATTGATGATTACAAGAATAAAATGTCGGCCGGGTGCGGTGGCTCACGCCTGTAATCCCAGCACTTTGGGAGGCCAAGGCGGGCGGATTAGGAGGTCAGGAGATCGAGACCATCCTGGCTAACTCGGTGAAACCCCGTCTCTACTAAAAATACAAAATAATTAGCCAGGCGAGGTGGCGGGCGCCTGTAGTACCAGCTACTCGGGAGGCTGAGGCAGGAGAATGGCGTGAACCCGGGAGGCGGAGCTTGCAGTGAACCGAGATCACGCCACTGCACCCCAGACTGGGCAACAGAGCGAGACTCCATCTCAATCAATCAATCAATCAATCAATAAAATGTCATGAAAATAATCAAGTAAAAGTAATGCATGTGGATAATCAGTAAGCTGTGATAAAGATAGATGAGCATAGGTTAAGAAATAAAACAATGAGTTTACAAATAACTTAGATACTGTCTTCATATTGCAAAGGCCCCTCATTTGGTCCAACACAGATATGCCTTTCACTAGAAAAGCTAAGTGTTTTCTAAGTCTCTAGCCTCGACAACAACCATCAAAAAGTCTCAGGTACAGAACAGAAAGGGATGGTACCTTTTCAAACTTGGACAGTAATTTGTTTCTTTCCCAAGTTCCCATCACTGGCCTCATTAAGGGCTGTATCTAAGGAAAATGAGATTACTTACTGTACTTACACACATTTACCAAAAGAAAGTGAAAAAATACATTATTTTAAAAAATATTTTATCAACAACGATTAAGATTTGCTAGAATAGCTTACGTTACTCCAGGTATAGCTAGTCATTTATAGAAAGCCTAGAAGGAAATGTTAGTAATCCTTGGGGTAACTATGGGGTATGTCAGAGTAGCAGGCTCGGTTAGTGGCAAGAGATCAAACACTGAAGTTATCTGAACTTGAGTTTGAATTCTTACTCTCTCATTTACCAGCTACTGGCCTTAGAAAAATTATTTAATCTTCTAGGCCTCAATTTTTTCATCTAGAAAATGGAGATATTTTCTAAGATGTTGCTATGAAATTTTTTTAAAGAAAGGAAATGGAGATAATATTAATAATCATCTCATAGGATTATTGTGAGCAAGTAGGATATTCAAAATACACAACAACCAGTATGGCCTGAAAACAAACAAACCCATCAGAATACATATACATACACACACACACACACACACACACACAAAATCAACAACCAGTATAGCTGTATGTACCAGGGTTCACTGGCTGAAGAGCAATTCTGGCTGCTAATATCAGTGAGTACCTAATAAATGTTAACAATTGGTACTGTTAGTTTCTTATTTGTGTTTTTATGATTTCTTTCTTGCTCTGCTGAATACAAAGGATTTTCATGACCAGATAATAATGTTTTAAAATATTAGCTTAATAGGGAAATTTAGAAGATCTGGTACTGGAGAGTCAATTAACAAAATGCTGGGAAAAACAAAAGGAACTTAAAACTCTCATTACTTGAGTCACGCACTAGGCACCTTGGAGAGCCCCAAGACCTTGGCCCTAGTCTGGCTGCCTTCATCCATAACTTAAGAAAGATTCTCGATCCCTTTTAATATCCCATTTGCAAACCCCTGTAAAGTGGGCTCTGTGCCATCCCTTCCAATCATGGCAGCAATGATAAAAGCCTCAAGAAAAAGACTCAAGATATCAAGTTCTAAATCCAAGTTCTGCAACTAATGAATTATGTGACCTTGGGTAAGGGAGTCTTAACATCCTTGTTTGTGAAAGGGGAAGAAGAGCACCTGTTCCAGCTGCCAGTGCATCAATGGTGGCTCAGATGAGAAACTGTATTTTGGAAAGCACAGAGTATATGTAAAGCCAGGGTGGCATGATCTCAGTGATGATGGCCCTGGGGTGAACCCCAGAAAACATGCAGGTGCCAAAGCCATCAGCTATTGAGTTTCCGTTAAAAACCAACCAACCAACCAACCAACCAAACAAACCCTGACCAGGCAAAGCAGTCAGAGGAGGCAGGATTCATAAGGCAGTATAGTGGTACTTACCAAGCAATAGACTTGAGCATCAGCCAAGGAGAATCACTCTCCTTTACCATTAAAATCAGGGACAAAAACCTGAACACCCTAGAAACCTAAATCTTAAAGCCTCTGAGAGCAGGAAGGAGGCAGGAGATAGGAGAAGGAAAGGGAGATCATGTGTCTGTCTTAGCAAAATTGTGAAGTTAACCAGGTTTATTTTCAGCATCTTTTTTACCTTTCCTTTCTGACACTCCCTCTACTTTCTGTTGTTTCACTTAATCCCAACCCCAGGCTGTAGTGTCAGAGCACTCTCATGGTACCACCTGGCTGGCTGGTGCACCCAACCCCTACTCCATAGGCAAGCACCTACCAAGGCCTAACCTCTCCAGAATATGACTCATGTTCTGAAAATTATATCCTCTCCTGACATTTGAGAATAGAAGTCCTCCTATTCCATTCCTACCCTACCTGGAGTTAGTTATTGTAAAATAAATGAATTCACAAGAAATAATAAGTCATTCTTTGTTACAATTTTAAAGAAAATGCTGAAGATGATAAAGTCCTGATCCAATATTCCCCAAATATCCTTTTTTTTGAAACGCAATTTCACTCTTGTTGCCCTGGCTGGAGTGCAATGGTGCAATCTCGGTTCTCTGCAACCTCCGCCTCCCGGGTTTGATTCTCCTGCCTCAGCTTCCTGAGTAGCTGAGACTATAGGCATGTGCCACTATGCCCAGCTAATTTTTGTATTTTTAGTAGAGATTGGGTTTCTCTATGTTGGTTAGGCTTGTCTTGAACTCCCACCTCAGGTGATCTGCCCGCCTCGATCTCCCAAAGTGCTGGGATTACAGGCATGAGCCACCGCATCTGGCCAAATGTCCTAATTAGGAAATTGGATGAACATTTTGTTAGGCAGCATCTTTATCAAATTTCAACTCTGCTGCTTACTAGCTGTGTGACCAGGAGCAAGTTAAGCTTTCTGAGTCTCTTTTGTTATTTGTAAATAGGAATGATAATGATACCTACCTGAAAGGGTTGATTGAAGATTAACGAGTTAATATGACAAGCACCTAGAACAGTGCCTATCATGTAGTACAGGAATATTTTTCATATTTTGTATTTATAACTCTCCTTATCTGTCCTACCCAGCACCTATATCTTCCAGCAGGAACAGTACCTTCTCTAAGGGCTACTACATCTAAATTCCCAGTGGCCCTTGCTCTATCAGTCATCTCTTCTATCCTTTGTATCTTCAAAATCTTCCTCTCCACTAAATCAATGTGCATAGTCTATAAACACTCTCAAATATTTTCTACCTTTTACAAAAACTTCCTTTAACATGTTTCTAGCCTAGGTATAACCCTTTATCTTCCTTCTTTCAGCATCTCGCCACATTTACAGCCCCTTTGACCTTGATCTCTCTCTTGCTACAACTATTTCTCCCTTCTTTCCACCTCAATACATTTCCCTCTTTTCATTTCCATAAATTTGCATCAAGAGTAGCTTTCTCATCACCTATTTAATCCTTAAAACATTATGATATGGATTTGCCTCCCCATTTCATCAGAATGCCTTTTACTGATTGCCAAGCCCAGTGGGTACTTCCCAGCACACACCTTGCTGGCTGGCTGTGCATCTTGTCACAATGACACACCCCACTCGGAAATGGGATGTCTACCACCACTGGCTGTCTCTGCTTGTCTCCCTCAGTTTCCTAGTTTCCTCCTCCTGTCCCATTTCTTAAGCACTGCATTGCCTAGCAGCCATGCTTTTCTTACACGAGGGAATCTCCTGCTCTTGCTCACCTTTCTTCTTGCCTTAGATGTGTATGTAGAAGGATAGAAGGATTTGTGTTGTTTTTTTTGTTTGTTGTTTGTTTTGTTTTGTTTTGTTCTGAGATGGAGTCTCACTCTGTAGCCCAGGCCAGAGTGCAGTGGCATGATCTCGGCTCATTGCAACCTCCACCTCTCTGGTTCAAGCAATTCTGCCTCAGCCACCCGAGTAGCTGGGACTACAGGTGCATACCACCACACCTGGCTAACTTTTGTATTTTTAGTAGAGATGGGGTTTCACCATGCTGGCCAGGCTGGTCTCAAACTCCTGACCTCAGGTAATCTGCCCACCTTGGCCTCCCAAAGTGCTGAAAGGATATGAAAGGTACCATGTGTGAGCATGTGGTGGGGAGGCACGAGAGATGGGAAGAACAGCCTAAACAAAGACAGGAGGGATCCAAGGTACGGGAAGTCTCATTTAATGGTCCTCAATAGATTCCTGGAAATGACACCTTTAAGTGACACAACATATTATGAACCCAATTTTACCATAAGTTAACTGATATAAACAGGAGTTACATTCCCACAGCATATTTCTGGTCCTAAAAACCTAAACTTCTAAAGATCCCAAACATTTCTAATATAAACATTGAAATCAATGTGAGCTATATTTACATTTTTCCAAGTATGTATACATACATTTTAAAAGATAGAATAAAAACAAGTAAGATAATGACTCACCCAAATTTTTAGTGAATCCGTGAGTGAGGGTGGTCATAATGTGTTGGGCTATATCAAGGAACAAAAGTATACAAAGTGAAAATTGTCAGAAGCACCTCTGGCCACCATGCAGGTCAAACACAAAGGAGAACAAATGAAGTGGGTTCACTGAGCACTTCTGTACCACAGTTTACTGTTGCACATCTGTTTCATTACGGTCTACTTTACGAATTTTTATTTTACTATCATCTGTAGTCAAATTTACACCAAGAGCCCAGGAAACAGTAGCTGGGCTTGGCTGAAGATCTAGGAAGAGCCCTAAGGGGAAGGAATGGGACATCAGCCTGGAGCAGGAGATCCTGGCAATCTGGGAAGGACCCTGAATGCTAAGAGGTTTGGACTTTATTTTATTGGCAGTGGAGAGTCCTGAAGAGTTGGAAGCAATTATGTGTCTACCGCTCCCTAGAACTAAACAATCCCAAATCGTATCTTCGTATCTTCATTTTCACCTAAGAAACATTTCTAACATCTGCCCACCTTGTCCATTTATTTTCCCTTATCACCCTATTATTATATTGCTTTAGCTTCCCCCTTGCTTTTTCGATCTTTCCAGACTGTGAACAAACTTTCCATTTCAGTTAGTTCATTCTATTTACAAAACAAAACAAATCCATATACAACCTCTCCAGGGGAGTCCAGGGCAGTGGGAGGACCATTGCTGTGGGTATGGCAGCTCCCCTCTGATACAGACAGAGCAGAGCCCCTAGACAGCCTTCCTGCCCACATGCCCTGCCCATGTTCCAACCTTTTTTGCTGTGATATGACAGGAGTCTTGAAGCTCTGGCTGTACTGTAAGTTCCAAGAGCAGCAAGTTCAACATCCATAGATTCTTTTGTATTTCCCAGTGTCATTCACGGTGTTGAGCTTATGGCAAGTGCACAGTGAATACTTACTGTCCAAATAAAATAGCAATTTACACTAATTCTGTGTTGAGGCACAGGTGAATTTGGACGGCAGCATGAGAAAACAACAAAAACCCAAAGACCTAGAGCTCCATAAAAAGAGAGAATGCAAAAGTGGAGAAAGCTAATACCAAGATAAACACTTTACTGAAAATTTGATCTAAAAACCCCAAAGAATTTTCCCCATTGCAGAGCCCAATTAAGCAATTTTTTGTTTTATTATAATGCTGTTTTTCCTAAGTAACCAAGGTTTCCGAAAGACAACCAGTAAATCAGAACCAAATTATCAAACGTGGACAAACCAGAAAGCAACACAGTACAGTGAAAACGCAAGGACTCTGGCATATGGCAGACATAGCTACAAAGCCCAGTTCTACCACAAATGAGCAGTGTGGACTCAGGAAAATTACTTATATTCTCTGGACCTAAATTCTCTCAATGATTAGGTGGGAGAAAAACTCATATAGCTCACTGCATTATGAAAACCAAGTTTTAGAGAGTGGGCATAAAGATCCTGGCTCAGAGGGATCACAAAATAACATTATTTCTTGTGTTTACTCAACAGTTGAGTGCCTTCTATGAGCCAGATATGGTTGTAGGCACTGCTGATAGATTAGAGAATAAAAAAGGCAAATACATGTGCTCATGGACCAGAGATTACTATCTTTAGCCCTTGTGACAATAGGATAAAAGCTCCAGTCTCTCTCCCCATGAAAATACACATCATTTTCAAACACAAATTATGCCTGCAGTTGCAAGGCAGTCAAGGATCTCATGAAATCCTGCAGTTCCCTCTTGTGATCTTACTCTATCCCTAGATCAGTCAGGGTCTCCTAAATAAGTTTAGTAAGAATGAATCAGGATGCATATTAGATTCAGGACCCCATTTCTGATTTACCTGAAAAGATTACCCTAAGGTGAGAAGTAGGAATATGGATATTATCAAGTGTCCCAGGAGAATCTTATCATCTAAGGAAACACTGCCTAAGATCTCAGACTCTGGCACACTTGGTTTTCCTAAGCTTATCCACCCTATTATCTAACTATAAATCAAATTTCTTCTAGATCCTGGCATATAGTAGGTACTCAGTGTACTTCTAAGTGATGGGAAGTGAAGGCTATACCCACATATACTTCCCTAGATGACTAACACAAAATTATCAGTCCCATAGTTTATCCAGGCAGAAGTATCTACTAAACGACCACAATGTAAAAAGGCTTAGAAAGCAGAAAAAAAATGAAAGGCAAGAGCTAAGGCATCACAAAGCACTGATACATACCTGGTGCTACTCTCAAGAGATGGGAAGAGAACAAAAGGATAATGACTCGACTGAGGCTAGGATTTGGATGCCCCATCTCCAGCTCCAACCACCCCTTCCCTGTCCCCATTTCTTGGTTCCTAGTTTCACCTTCTCCTCCACCAAAAACATCACTGGTCATCAAGCAGGAAATAGACAAACTTCAAACAAAATCAAGTACAAAGTACACCTATGGGAGCCCGGTTAATAACATCATGTTTTTCCCTCCATGAACTGCACAGGCATATTCTCCAAAAACAAAAACAAAACCCTCAACTGAAATGTTCACATTTTACAATCTCAGACAACAAGTATTAGGGCAATCATTTGTCTGGGAGTTCTATGGTAATTCTAAATTCAAATATTCCATTCTATGGTCCCAGAGACCAATGGTAAGCCCTGGAAAATCCCAATATGTCAGTATCCAAATTACATAGTCTTTTCACTTAGAAGCAATCCCACTATCAGGCCCCATACCCAATATGTGGCTGGGTAAAATGTGGCCTTCGCAAGTGAACCAAGCACTGCTCCCATTGTGTAAATGGACATCCGATTAGACATCATTAGAACAAGACACTGTTCTAAATCAGAATCACACAGCACAGCAAAATATAAGCCTCATCCCTGCCATCCCCAAAACTTAACCATACCAGAAATGGTGAAATGGTCAACTAACCTTTTCTCAGGCTTCACGAGATGGAGTCCATAACCAACCTTGGCAGGCAAGACCAATTCCTTTCAGGGACAGGTAAGTTTTTCCCTTTCTAGCTAAATTCATCTTGTGTGACCTGTTAGTATTCCCTTTCCTGTCTTGCCTAATTTTCCTCCAAAATAAGCTCTCCTTGACCTGTCTTCCTTATCTGATTGTTTTTCTACAACAACAGCAAAATCACAAAACAGAACTTGATGACAAATTCTTATTACAAGATAAAATTTAGAAGCCTTCTTTTGTATGCCAAAACAAGTGGCATTTGTGGGTTATATCCATGCTTGATGTCTGTATTGAACTGGTAATCAAGGGTAATCTGCCATAGTAATACTGCCCAATCTTGTAGCAGTGTAGCTCAAGAAACTCACCTCTGGAAAACTGTGTCCTTCTATTCCCTCCCAACTACCTGCATAGCCCCATTAATCTAACTCTCTTGTCCTTGTGAGGTTGTCATTTTCAGAAGATAAGCACAGGGGGAAAAAAATCCAAATAAAAGAGAACACATATGACACACTGTCAATCTGGAAAACCATTCAGCGGTTTCTAATAAAGGTAAAACATACTCACTGTATGACTTGAAAATCCCACTCCTAGCTATTTACACAAGAGAAATAAATTTAGGTTTGCACAACCTGTAAGCAACTGCTTTTAGTGTTTTACTCATAATTACCAATTACTGGAAACAACCTAAATGTACTTCAATTGGTGAATAAACTGCTGTATAGATATTCCATGGAATATTAGTGAGCGATGAAAAGAGCTGAACTATTGAATCAGGCAACAACATGGAAGAATTTCAATGCATTACACTCAGTGAAAGAAACCAGACTCAAATGGCAACACAGTGTATGACACCATTTACATGAAATCTAGAAAAGGCAAAAGTCTAGGCACAGACTTTAGAGCAGTACTTGTCAGGGGCTGCAAGTGGAAGGAAAGACTGACCACTGACCACAAAGGGGCATAAGGAAACTTTACAAGGTGTTCAAATTGCTGTCTATCTTGATGGTGGTAGTGGTTACAAGACTACATTTACCAAAACTTAAAGAACTACAATAGTTGATTTTACTGTATGTAAATTGTATCTAAACAACCCAAGGTTTAAAACCAATTTAAATACCAATAAAAAACCATGAAAGAGAAAGGAAGAAAAAGAATATACTTGAAATGGGGGCTAGAGTTTCAAAATTAATAGTGAGTTTCAATGGTAATTTACCTTGAAAAGAAAAAGGGAGAAGTTTATCTGATATTTACCCAAATTTAGGTTATAATTGAAAATATGTGTTAATTCTTAGAACAAAAAAAGATTCAATTTTTTATTTGTTATATAACTTCAGCAACAGGACTTACGTCAGCAGGACAAAATATCTTTCATTTCATACTTGACTTTTCATAGCACGATTATAAAGGAGATCATTTTTCCCCAAAATATTTAGAGCATCTCTTTTCACTAAAGACTTCTCTTAATCCCTAAAAGGTCCTAATATTTCTCTTTAATGCCTATCAAGTCAATATCTTAATCAATTTTCTCTTCTTTAATGGTTATCTGGCCTAACTCAGTCAGATCTTAATTGGGCCATGGCACATGATTCCAGCAGTTTCCCAATGTCACTTTCATAGAGTCCATGAACTATTTTCTCTTTTGCAAGATCTGAAATTTCTCTTTGTAATCAACTTACTTTGCATACATATTGTATGGATGGATGATGATCAGACAATCAGAGAGAGGCCAGCCTACAAAACTGCTGGTGTTAAGTGGCAAGTAAATTTGTGGTAGAGAAAAATTATGTAAGTGATGAGTCTTTAGTGAATATAATCATAACTTTTACTTCCCTCTGTTGCCTCATAACTGCACAGAGTCAGATAATGAATACATCAAATAATGCATTTTAAGCTGAGAATGCCTTGTATTTTATCAATGACACTTTGTTGGTGTTCTTCCAACTCTGATAACCCACATTCCCTCATTGAGCATGCACTATTATGCCAGACTGTAATATCACAGGACTGTAAAAATGCTATAAAAATGGCTTAGATGCTTTGATAAGTATGGCAGGAAGACAAGGTGAAACAGACAGCATCATCACCATCATCTTGTCTAACACCTTACTCAGTGTTTACTGAGCACCTACCACAAACCAGGTCTTAAGAGCTTCCCTTATACTAATTTAACCTTCTCAACATGCCCATGAGGTCATTACCATTAATATTCTCGTTTGATAGACAGGCAAAGGAGTCTCCGAGCTGTCCAGTGAATTACCCAGGCACCCAACAGGTCCTGGGAGGAGCTGGGGTTCACATCTAGCCCGGTTGCAGATGTTGCACATGTAAAGCATTTAAAGACAACACTGTGACTGCTATGATCCCCAGGGAAGAGTCGTGCACTGTGGAGGCAGTGACAAACCATGAGCAGGCCTGAGCCCATTCTGTACCCCAGGTCTCCAGGGCAGCTGTAGCTCTGAGAGCCACACCCCATAGACAATCCACAAGCATCTGTCAAATCACTTGAGAGTCAGGATTTGCCGACTAAAACACAAACAACTTCTGCAGCAGCAAGGGCAGGAAGCAAGGAGGAGCAAAGGAACAAAACCTGCCAATGGGCTCTTCCCAGCCCTAGCGCTCTGGGAAGGAGGCTGCTGAAGGCAGTGAGGTGGGCCACCGCTGTCACCCGACAGCTGCTGTCCTGTCCTGCTCTTCACACGGGAGGCAAGCTGTACAAGCAGATTCTTGCACCCACACTTTAGAAAAATCAGACTAAATATAGCCAAGTTTGCTCTCATGAGCCAGCTCAGAACGGGTGGTGCTGCTACATTCCACTTCAGAAAACTGGGGAGGAATCAACTTGATTTACAAGAGAGCAGCTTTCCACGCTTGCTCTTGTGGTTTCAAAAGGACCATATGCAAGATCCAACTGGACTGTGGGGAATGTTGCAGGTTTGGCCAGGCAAATAATACAGCCCTTAGGAAAAGGACTTTACCAGACATGAGTTAGGAGGCTCCCCATTCACTTTCCTTCCTATAAAGGACTAAACTACCACATCCCTGGGACGTGGGGGAAATCCATTAGGAAGCACACATTATACATACACTACTCAGTTTTGTGCCTTTTCCCGGATTCCCACCCATCAAAATCCTACTCAAAAGCTCACTCAATGCTATTCCTTTCGTTAGGCTATCCCCATCCAGCTCAGAACCAAATGCTCCATTTGTTCTCAGACCTCCCACGTTATGGTGCTTGTACTTTTATTTAGCACTTATATCATTCAGTCTAATCTGCTTCTCTGTCTCCTTCCCCCAGTGGAGGCTGCAGGGAAGGGCTGGGGCTGGCAGAGGGCAGAGTGGGCTAAGCTCCCTTCCTTATTACACTCCCCACCACATCTCATAGAGTTCCTTGTACATGGGTGCTACTCTACTGCTTATCAACAGATACACACAATCTGCTTGAATGCCTGTGGATGAGCATTTACAATATCCCCTCTTTCTCATAATTAAATACACAACATCTGACACTCACTCGCCAGAGTTCAAGCGTGGGCTTCAGATCCCCAGTTTCCCCTACCTTTGTAACATGTCACCACATCATCCACTGTGACTCAGCATTACAAAACACAGCTACACCAGCAAAGGTTTCCCAGTTTCTGCTTCTCAGCACCAGCCCTTGTTTCTTCAGGCATGAGAGAACAGCAAGGTAGATGAGAAAGAAAGGGTGTGATAAAAGGAATTAGGAAGGGCTGGGCTAGGCAATACAACAGTGCGATTAGACTGAAGCCCTGTCTGAACTAGCTAAGAGGGCTACAAAAGAGATGGGGGTGGCAGGAACCGCTGCCACAGCAAGTTTCAAACTAGGTTGGAGGCCCCAATTCTTGTTCACACAGTCACTGGACAGGAATTTTCAATGACGAACTTCTAGCCGTCAATCTCCTTCCTAAAACAAAGTGATCAACAGAAACTGCTGATGCAGGAAAGTCAAATCTGGTGGTCTAGAGAGCATAATAAAAATAAGAAAAAAAGACCCTCAGGAATAAGTGAATGGGAGAGAATCAGGGAGTAATTAGTTTAACAATCACACCATGAAGCTGCCCCAGAGTTAAGTACCTATGAGGGAAACTTGTCCATCATCTCACTGCCTTCACGACATCTGCTCTACAGAGGAACACCGTTGGAAGTTCTCATTAAGTGTGTATGGGAGTTACTGCGGAAATCAAAAGCAGTCATAAACCCACCCATTCCTTCATTTGTCTCTATTCATTCATTCATTCAAGCTTCATGGATGAGGCATGAGACATAGTCCATGCTCTTAGAAAGTGCCACCAGAAGAGGTACATTCAAATGATGTTCTCAAGAAGAAAAGGTAGTTAGGAAAGCATAGGTAAGCTAGTTAGGAAAGCATAGGTAAGCTAGCACCAAGAGAGTCACACAGAGGCAGGACAGAGCTTCTTGTGTTCTATGAAGGGAAATCCATCAGAATTATACTTCTGGTCTCCCTCTTCACCCTCCGGGTCCTCCTCAGGAGAGGAGAAGTCAACTCTCTGATGAGCAAGTCTGTGAAAAGGCACAAAGCATAGGTTCCCCCCCTTCCTTTGGGTCCCACCTGCCTGCTGCAGAAGCCCAAGTTATCTCTGCTCTCCAGCTGTCAGTGGTATAGCGCAGGGGTCCCCAACCCCTGGGTGGTGAACTGGTATCAGTCCATGGCCTATTTAGGAACTGCGCCACACAGCCGCAGGTGAGCAGTGAGCAAGCAAGCATTACCGCCTGAGCTCTACCTCCTGTCAGATCAGCGGAGGCATTACATTCTCAGAGGAGTGAAAACCCTACTGTGAATTGCACATGCAAGAGATCTAGGTTGCACATTTTTTTTGAGAATCTAATACCTGATGATCTGAGGTGGAACAGTTTCATCCCAAAACCATCCCCCATGGAAAAACTGTCTGCCATAAATCTTATCCCTGGTGCCAAAAAGGTTAAGGGCCACTAGTGTAGAGGGAGGCATCCCTGTGACGGGTAAGTTCACTGCTGGGTACGATATCAGCAAGCCCACTTACTCTCCAACCCAAAGTCAGAAAAAATTACCCACTATACCCTTGTGATAAAAATGATGTTTTTATCTCCCATGTGACTCCTTTTACTCTCTGTGATGTAGTTCTGAATTCAAGTTGGGTACAAAGTCATCATTTATGGGGCTGCAAAGCCCAGTGTTTACCATGACTGCTTCTATTTGTCACAAGTGTTTGACGCAATCTCACTTCCCATTTTCCCAGTCACTGTTATTATTACTTAGCCTTACAATATTTTGGCGATGGGTAGTTTCTGCACTCTCTTACAGGATAAAAAACATAGAACCTGAGCACTGAATGACTTATCAGAAGATATTTGGTAAGCTAATGTGTTCACTGATGGAAAATTCAGATTTCTTAATATAGATGTCATTAAGAGCATATAGTCTTGCATTTGACATGTTTTTCTTGAGGAGAGAGGTGAGTGCTGAATATTGGAAATCATTTTTTCTGCCATGTGAGAGGTGCTATTCTGTTAGACCTGGAATAGAAATTACCATGTACAATGTCCATCCTCCCTACTTTTTTCATAAATCTCTGAGGATGAAGCAAGAAAAGGAATTGGGGATGAGGGGTAAAAAACCCTTCTCTAGATCTAGGGACTCGTGCATTTATATGTCATTCATGAAACAAATGACTGTGGGCCTCCTAAGTGCCAGGCACCATCCCTGGAATACAGAGATGAATACAAAGATGAATACAACACTGTCCCCAATGAATCCACATTTTTCTTCTCCCTGAATAATACTGCAACCCACTTCCGTTAGAAAACATCAATAGGCGCAACCATCTATACATAGTCTGTCCATAGAGAATGGAATAGTTTGGGGTCCCTGCTACCTCCTTCCAAGAGGTCCTAGTTTCTAGTCCTGCTAATTTGTTTCACAATACACTGCTTTTGTTTTTGTTTTTTTAAAAAGACAATGGATGCCAGTATAATCCTAATCCAAATGCAGACCATAAGATCATACCCTGTTCTGGGGCTGGAAAGCACACTTGTAAGCTGCCCATAAATGCAAAGCATGGGTCGCAACCAGACTAGGAGACATAGATAGGACGTTGCAATTAAACTAAGAAGAAAACATAACCCAGGGTAGTTACAAAACAATAAACAAAGGGCACCTCTTTTTCATCTTAAACACACAGCTGCAGGTTCAGCAAAATGAATGAGAGAACTACTTGCTATTAACACTTTTACAAATTCAAGTTCAAGTTTACTTAAGAAAAATGTTACACATAGTAAAAACCCTTCTAATTTGTTACTAATTAGAAAAACTGGCTGGCATGAATAAGTGAAAATTCAGGATATAAAACACATGCCAATTAGTATAGCTTTTCTTAAGAGAAGGGATGTGTGTACGAGTGATATTTACTTAGGATACAGGTTCCAGACACCTTTCCAGAAGCCCCCTCCTTTATTTAATCCTCACAATGTGCCCAGGAGGTAACCAGTAGTGAGTCCATTTTTTCCAGATGTGGAGACTAAAGCTTAGATGTTAAGTAATTCGAACTGTATTTTCTATTCCAGTTCCTCTGGCAAAACTCCTTATTCTCTGAAGCAGCATTTCTCAGTGAGTTGGGTAAACTGGTCATTGCTTGACCATGGCTTGGCAACATGATATGGGAAGGCCATGCACTGCAGGCCATGATTATCTCTGGCCATGGGCACAAAATACCTATAGCAGCCCCCAGCCGCAGTTCCTACATATCCCAAATGTGCCCAGAGACGATGTCACTCAGCAGTAGATGTAAACTACTGCTCTAAAAGATTTTTTGGGCATCAAGACAAAAGACTGAAGAGAAGGGCACTTCAAGGTGGGCGGATCACGAGGTCAAGAGACCGAGACCATCCTGGCTAACACGGTGAAACCCCGTCTCTACTAAAAATGCAAAAAAATTAGCCGGGCGTGGTGGCGGGCGCCTGTAGTCCCAGCTACTCGGGAGGCTGAGGCAGGAGATTGGGGTGAACCCAGGAGGCGGAGCTTGCAGTGAACCGAGATCATGCCACTGCACTCTAGCCTGGGTGACAGAGCAAAACACCATCTCAAAAAACAAAAAAAACAAACAAAAAAAAACCTCCCGTCTTCAAATCTGTCAGAAGTCCCTGATTGTATGGCATTTAGGCTTCCAAGAAAGCCCCATGTACCCTTATAGAACCAGTTACAAAACCTCCATGAATATATTTGCCATGCAATGAATGAGCATTGAGTACCTATTATGGGCCAAGTACTGTGCTATAAGCTGGGAATATAAAGTCCAAGTCTAACCCACAAGGGGGTTAGAGTTTAGTAAGAGGTAGATTAAGTATGATAAGTGTTAAGATAAATGTGAGCAGGAGGCACCTCCCATAGACTGGAAAGAGTGCTGAGAAGGCAGAAGAGAAAGGAGGGTTGGGACAGGTTCCCAGAGCAAGTGACATTTCCCCTGAGGCTTGAAAGACCAAGTAGGAGTAACCAGGAAGAGACTGGTCCAGGCTGACCTCTTTGCAAAGACAAAAGATAAGAATCATATTTGCAGTTAAAGTTAAAAATACTTCCTTCATTCTTTGAGACCTCACTGTGATTCAAACTCAGGATCTCCTGTTTACTAGACAGGTACTTTAACCAAATAAGTCACTAGAAAATAAACTCTCCATAGTCCACATGTACTTCCTTCCTAAGTTCTTGTTTTTGTAAAGTCTGGCTTCACTGGTATAATCACCCATCAGGCAAGAAATAAGACGAATTTATACTTCTTACAGTGGACAAGAAATTGTTTTCGAGAACAGTGTGGACTAGCAACAAGGGGGAGTGTCCCTGTCTTGGGGACACAGGAGTGGTGAAGAGGAGAGATCATAATCAGTGCCACCTGATGGGTGACGTAGAAGGGATATTTAAGGAGTACGTCAACATATCCTTGGTCTCAAGCTCAAGATGAACTTTATCTCGGCTTTTGTTTTGTTTTTTTGGCATCTTAAGTCTTGACTCACTATCAATCATAACGATACAAAAAAAAAAAAGAAGAGAGAGAGAGAGAGAGAGATTCTCACCCTACTGGTACATTTGCACCGACAAGAAAACCTAGAAAAATCTTGGTTGTAAGAGAGAGGACTTCATTTTTGTTAATAAAGTTAGGAAAGCTGGAAGTGGCTGGCTGAGGATCTCTGAACCTGAGATAGCCCAAAGGCAAGAGTTTCCCGAGTTTATGGGCGCTGAGTGTAGGAGCTGGGTTGTTGCTACTTCGGGTTCTTAAGACAGTCGTTATAAGGGGAGCAAGGGTCAGATTAGTTCAGTTTCTTTCTCTTGGGGCAGGGAGCAGAGGGAGGAGCAAGCCAGCCCTTGTGGTTCCTTCTGGTCTCTAGCCTACAAGGAATAGGCTCATTTCCCCTTGGCAAGGCGCCTGAAGCAGCTGGCAAGCATGCCTCCTCTCCCTACCTCAGTACCCCCTCTGACCTGACCGCACTCAGAAACCAAAATTCTCTAGGTGAATGCAGGCTCCCATTTTGTCCCACAATCATTTCATCATTTAGGTACAGCTTGACCTCTAATGTGACATCACAAACGCTTCTGGTCCACAATCTTTTTTTCTTCTTCAGAAACTACCCTAAACAAGGAAGTTTGTGTTCCAAGGTAAGAGAATCGGAAATGAAAAACTCAGGATCCCTCACGAACAGCCCGACCCTGCTTTCAACCAGGAAGTTCAAGGGAGGCAGGGCTGTACGGTCAAAACTGCAAAGTCGAAGCTCAAGACTGTAAGAAGAAAGTGGTCTTCAAAGAAAAGGATTCACCCAAATCGAAGAGGTTGTTGCACTTCTTTTCCCTGGCTGATTACATTTCATGTCTGTAAACTTTGCTAAGCCCGGGGCGCTGGCTGTATAAGCAGAGACAGGTGTAGGGACACCTCTACCCTCTGGATACATCTGCGGCCGCCGCTGCTGGGTGCACAGGACGAAGGGCCCTCGACCCAATCCCAGTCCAAGCTTCCGGATGACGCACCTGGGCCGGGGACCTCTCCCACGTGAGGGGGCCAACCAAGCATCCCCAGTCCTGGGGCCACCCAGCCCGCTCCGAAGGGAAGGGGCAGGGAAAAAGGGCATCTCGGGGCCAAACCTCATGCCGGATCCTCCGGCTTTCCCCCCATTTCCAGGATATCGTTTCGCATCAGGGACACTCGTCTCTACACCTCCTACCTCAAAGTCTTGCGCACCTACCCTTCACGTCTCTCCAAAGCAACTGAATTAAAGCGCCTACTGGCCTTGGCGGCGCAGGTGAGTGCCAAGAGGTGAAGGAGGAAGGGGCCCGCTCTCCGCCACCCCCTTTCCTCGCCTCCCCGCGATCGCCAAGCTTCATCGGGGATGTGTGGCTTGGGGTGCGCGGGTTAAGAAGGAGCTTAAAAATGCCCCAAGCGTCCCTTACCTTCCACAGCCATTCTCTCAGAGCTTCCCTAACGCATGCATAATTTTCTTGGCCGAGGTACTCCTCCTGCCCCGCGCTCCCCCCCTTCTCTCGCTTTCGCCTAAATATTCTGAGCTTATCTGCTCCAGGACCAACCTGCCGCGGTCACGCAAAGCGAGGCAGCCGGCTCCGGGCTTGGCGCGCGCAGGGCGTCCTGGGAAGTGTAGTTCCCTGCCTTCATTTGGACTCGGGAGAGCACCCCGACTCCAACGCGGAGGCGCCGCCTGCCCCCACACTCGGACAGCAGCTCCAGCTTCAGCTGACCAGACCGAGTAATCTCTCTTGGGGAAGTTATGAGGGGACCCAGGACGCCTGGGGTGTGGGATGGGGCGGGGGGGGGGTCCCGGGAAGCGGTGTGGACTACATCTCCCAGGAGGCCGTGCGCTGAGATAGCTTCGGTGCTAAGAGTAGGGACCCGTGATTGAGCCCGTCCCTGTCCATTACAAGGGGGTTGGCACGTAGCAGGTGTGGTGAGGTGGGCAGGTGCCGGTCAGCAGTGTGATGAGCTCCCCCGAGCTCGTCCGCGGGCCTCTGCCGCAGGTACCGCCCCCTGACCTCCTGAACCACCATTTAGTAGGGAGAGCAGAACCACTGTCCGCCTGTGGTTCTCCACCTGGGCCAGAGAGCGCTGCCCAGGCTGAGGTTGAAACTTGTTCCTTCGCACCCTGAGATGTATGGGTTTTGTGGGGGAATTCCGCCGGTTGATACAGCCGTCTTCTGATCCTATAGGGTGGTTCAGGTGGCTAAATACTTGGCATGGGGGTGTAGGGGAGGAGGAGTGGCTTAAACCCCAATAGGCAACATCCCCAAGGGGTTGTTAGGAACAAAGTCGGAACCAGGATTGTACCAGAGGAGGTCAGATGAAAGCCTGCCTGGCTTCCAGGATAGGAGGCTTTCAATTTGGCTAGCCTTGGAGCCTGCTGACAGCCTTTGATAGGACCTAATAATTAACAGTGCCTGAGAATCACCTTCCTTCAACTTCTGAAAACTACGTCCTAGCTGTAGGTGCTGGGGATGATTTAAGCAGACAGGATAAGGGGAATCACGTGGATAGCAATACAATTCGACAGCTGGTAAAAATTAAGTTTCTAAACATTTTTTCCTGCATATGAAAATACGGATACAGTTGTGGCTGTAAAGGGTAAGGGAATAGCCTCAGGAATAAATCTGGCTCAAGACTGGATTGACTTTTAAAGGCCTTCAGTTTGGAAATGCATTTGGTACCACATCCACCCAGTCACCGATATATAATGTTAATCTCTGTAAAATAAGGAAGTGCAAAAATCGGATTCTTCCCATGATGACTACTTAGACATTTTTGTCTGTCTTGGTCATTAGCAAAAAAAAAAAAATCTCAAAACAATTTTGTTTCTGAGTGTATACATGCACACCTTTTGTTCTGGTCACTAATTACATGCCTAGTCCTCCTATTGGGTAATATATAATAATAACACGTGTATAGGCGTGTTAAAGAATACCTGCGTATAACCATTAAATGCTCTTGTTGATACTTTAATTCTGAGTCCATGGAGCTGTGTAGAAGTCAAAGCTAAGCCTCCCTTTTAGGTACAGTAGAGAGAGACCCATTCAGTGAGACATAATTTCCATGAGAAAAAGAATTTTCCAACTTTATACACAGCCAAGCATTCTAAAACCTGGAAAGAACTGAAATCCAGGTGCTTACCTACTTTATGTATATAAAATCACCAAAGCATTAAGTATTTTCTTAGACTGAATGAATATGAACGAAAACCATAGGACAGGTAGTATCAATGGTTCTCAACCTTGGCTGTGCATCAGCCTTTTATAAATATTCCTAAGCTTTATCTTAGTCTCACAGAATCAGGGCTTATGGGGGTTTGGGTAGAGGCACTTAGGTTTTAAAAACCTAGAGGTGATTCCAGTCTTCATTGAGGATGAAAACCATTGGTCTGTTTCCAAGCTTTTAAATATGTGGGTGATATTAAAATATAAAAGTCACTGAAATCTGTTGTTAATTTTAAAACTTCATCTTAGCTCAAGTCTTTAATATTTTTCCCAGTGATGTGCATTCTAGACGAGTTTTATTTTTAGTATAAATAAAATGTGAAGGAGATGTTAGTTTCAACCATATGAAATAGCCAATGTTTGAACATTTTTAAAACCTACAAATAGAGCAGTTTCATGTGGTTCTGCCTAATAAGGGATAAACAATAGTTGTGCAGAGGTTTTCAATTCTGGCTGAATATTAGAATCACCTGGGAAGTGCTAAAGAAAAAAAATTACATTTGTCCCGAGAATGTTTGAAAGAAAAAGACACAAAATACCAACTCTTGGCAAGATTGTGAAGTAGTAAAGACTCATATATTGCTGGTGGTGTGCAAATTCACAAAACCACTTTGGAAAACCATCTGAAACATTAAGCTGAATATATGCGTATGCTGTGACCCAGTAGTTCTACTCCTAGGTTTACACCAAACAAATATGCATACACATGTTCTCCAAAAGACATGTGCAAGAATGTTTGTGGCTGTATTATTTTAATGTTTCCCAAATGGAAAACAACTCAAATATTTATCAGCAACAGATTGGAGAGATGAACTCTGGTATAAACAAATAATTCCATATAGCAGGGGTCAACAAATTAAGAGCAATGAGACATTTATTTTTTATGGCTCACCAGCTAAGTATGATTTTTATGTTTTTAAATGGTTGGGAAAATACAAAAAGGTATAATTTTCAAAACCTGGAAATTATATAGACATACTTACATAATATCCTCAATTTTGCCTCTTGTCCTACAAAGCCTCAAATATTTCCTACCTGATCCTTTACAGGGAAAAAAAAAAAAAAAAAGCTTTCCAAACCCTCCTATAAAGTAATGAGAATGAAGGAATTACAATTGTATACAACAACATGATGAGCCACATATATTAATCGATTGTTGTTAACAGATTATCCCAATGTTTAGTGGTTTATAACAATACCCATGTATTGCTTCAGTTTCTGTGGGTCAGTAATTTGGGCACAGCTTAGCTTTTGCTTTAGTATCTTTCACAGACTGCAATCATGTATTGTTTAAATGATTTATTTTTAGTCTTTTTTTTTTTTAATCAACAGCCAAGTACAGTTCCTAACAGTTACACCCAATTTTAGTAAGGGGCAAAGTCCAGACCTCATCCCCTACCTCTCATAAGCCAAATTCTGTGTTCATTATGATACTATTATTTGTTCCTTATAGTATATAAGCACTTCGAGTGCTGGAACTGAGTCTTGTGCTTCATATCTTCCAGATTCTTGGTCACAATTGTGGTTACATAGTAAGTATTCAATAAATCATTTATTATTACTATTGTTATTTTTTTAATCATTGTTATAAGTAGCGTTTGTTGGGAAATTGCAAGTGCCAAGCTCTGTCTAAGCACCTTGACATACATCATCTCCTTTAATCACTACAATATTGTCAGATATCACTATTTTCCAGATGAGGAAACTGAGGCTCAGTGAGTGTAGGTAATTTGCCCCATGTCCCAAAACATGAATTGTAGTAAGGGGATTGACGTCTACCTAAGTGTAGAACTTTGTGATATTACTCTATATAGATTTCAATACTGATTACATGATCACAAATCTGAATTCATAAGCACTTGGCCAAATAGGAATTGTCATTACTAATAAAACGAAGGGTTTAAAATATTTTAATATCAGAAATTGTGATGTTTAGAATGATTCAAAAATTTCTGAATATATCAGAGAGCACAGAAAGGGAGGGAAAAGCCCATTACCTTATAGTGAATTAAATAAAAAAAGAAATATTGAGATGAGGCTACAGATTTCACTGGATTCTAAGATTTAAAGTAGTACATATAAGTACTTTACTATATTTGTTGTTCTAACTAGGTTGCTATACTCACAAGCCTCTACAGAAAACATTCATAAATCTCAAAAAGTAAATAGATTATGTTTCTATTCTGTTCAGGGAGATCTTCTAAAAGGATTCAAACCCCAAAGACTAAAATTTTTACAGGAAGGAACTGAGAGGAAAAAAAAATTTTTTTGTAATTAAGATAAAAAATAATAACTCTAATCCTTGAGTCATGAAAAAAGTGCCAACCATTCAAGTTATATCAGGCTTCCATTGGAGGAAGTAAGCATATTTCAGGGAACATGATTTAAGCAAAAGCCTCGTTGTTTTTGCTTAAATCACATTGTGTACAATTAAATCACCTTGTGTGTTATCTGTATATTGATAAGTTGGTGATATTCTATAGCATCATTCTTCTAAACTATACTTTCAAAATCGGACTTAAATTATGTGTCCAAAATTTGAGCAGAATCTATCTACCTTTGTATTAACTGGTTATCTGAATATTTGGTTTCCATACTCAAGCTTCATAGACATACAGAGCTAGATTGTAATCCTGACTCTCATTTACTCGATGTTGGTTATTAGCAAAGTTCTTTGACATTTCTGTGTCTTGGTTTTCCCACGTGTATCATAATACTCTTAATTGTGTAATGTATATGTTACCTAGCTCGCAGTTTGGTGCTCAACAGTGACTGAGAGGGTATATACAGTGTTGTGAGCTGTCCTGGCATATAATGGACACCCAATAAGTGTTTGTTCTTTTCATCATCCATGGAAGCCTGAGAGGCCATTCCCAAAGAATATGGATATAATTCAGTTAAGCAGTAACAAGGGCCTCAGGATACTTGCCAGGTGTGGAGTAAGTCTGCCCAGTTTCACTTGTAGTTAAGTCACAGAATGAACTTTAACTTGATCAATGCAGAGCCTCCTCTGACTGGCAGGAAAATATAGCTGTACCATGGAAGA